GAGAGGTGTGTGTGTGCTGAGGCAGGGAAACTACCTAGAGCTAAGTGTATGCAGTATCCCTGTGGAAACCGAAGCCCTGAAAACCACTGAGAAACAACAAGAGCTATCAACACAACTTTCAAAAGAAAATAATTCCTCCCCGTGTTTTTTGATCTTTTACTTTTAGAAATGAAAATGTCACCAGATAATGGCTCCACTAGGAGTCACCTCACAGACAGCCTATTCCATGTCCTGGTAAGGGATCAGGCATTCTCTTGGGAGAGGAAAGGCATGACTATTGATTATAGTCTGTTGTGTTTATCTAGGGCAGTGGTTCTCAACCTTCTGGGCCTTTAAATACAGTTCCTCATTGTTGTGACCCCAACCATAAAATTATTTTTGTTGCTACTTCATAACTGCAATGTTGCTACTGTTATGAATCGTAATGTAAATATCTGATCTGCAGGATGGTCTTGGGTGACCCCTGTGAAAGGGTCGTTCGACTGCCAAAGGGGTCGTGACCCACAGGTTGAGAACCGCTGATCTAGGGACATCAAAGTTCTGTGACCATCCTGACCCTCTAGGTAGCATTTAAAAAAATTCCTTTAAAAAAATTATGTTAGAGAGGGGGAGAGAGAAACATTGATTTGTTGTTCTATGGATCCATGCATTCATTGGTTGTCTCCTGTACGTTCCCCGACCGGGGATTGAGGCCACAACCCTGGCACATTGGGACGACGCTGTAACCCACTTAGCTACCTGGCCCAAGCCCTAGGTGTCATTTTTGCATAAAATCTCCAGGCATCTGAAAATAGCCTTCCAGGAAGGAGGGTTTTGATCTTGGCTGGGGCCACCCTCAGGACATGGGTAAGGATGGATTCTCTTCAGAATTAAGAGAAAGGGAAGGGGCTGTGCCCAATAGTGACATCAACAGAGCAAAGTCAAATGCACATGGTCAGCAAGGTCAGGCGATGTGTTACCTCGTAATTGTCCATGAGAGTTTTAGAAGGAGCAGGACTCAGCCGGAAGGCATTATTGAGTATCCCCAGACCTAATTTCTGTGCCAGAGTGGCCCAGTTTTTGTCTGGATCGGGAAATTCTAGCAACTGGTAGAGCTGCAACTTTGCATCTTCATTCAGCTGCTTCATGTCTCCTGAAGGAAATGAAGAAGAAACCCGGCTGTCCTGGCTGGACCAAGACAGTCTGCAGGGCGTGGTGGCTGCCACACTGCTCACCCTCCAGTGCCCCCTGGAGGCCACCAAGCTCCTTTACCTGAGAACCGGCAGAAGCCCCGCTGAGTACCAGCAGCATGTGTTTTAGTAGATTACAACTGGCTATTCCCTTTCATACCTCCAGGACCTTCTGATTCTGAAATAACCACTGTGCCTTTTACAGAACATCCCGGATAATGCCAGCTCTCCCCACCCCCTCCAAGTCACGGTGTGGAGACCTCACTGGGTAAGAGACCTCACCTTGTGCCAGTAAATCGTCAGCTGTAAACTCGGGCTCGTATGGTTTCCCATTTAATATGTCAAATACCTGGTGGGAGAAAAACACAGGGAACAATTGCACATTTAAGGGACCACAAGGGATTTTTTTTTTAAAACTAAGAACTCAGAGTGTCCTTCTTGGGAGGTTCTGGTACCCTGAAGATGGAAGCGTGGAGAGAGCAGTCAGTGCCATGGCCCAGGGATACGCGGGCCCTTTGGGACTTTGGGGTTGGGGGGCTGTGTTCCACAGGAGTTGTCTGAGAAGGGTTGGAGGAATCAACCCAGCCTCATAGAGAGCAAGGGCCAAAGGCAGTGCAGGCTGCCAAGCCAGCCATGTCTTGGTCAGTCATTGGTCAGTGAGGTCTCCGCTAGAGCTGGGGTGGGGGGTGGGGGGCTGCCCTTCCTCAGAGCTGTGCACCTGTGTCCCCTCGCTGACCCCCTCCCTAGGAAAAGGCTATGAGAATGAGTTTCATAAACTTGCTCAAACAGAGGTACAGAAATGCTCATAAGGCCTGGTGTTAGCCTTCTAGCCTCTATATCCTAACTGAGGGGCCAGAAAAGTCTTAAGTTTAAACTAAAAAATCCCACAGCGATGGAGGCCTTTCTGTGTCCTCTGCAGTCACGTGGCTGCTGGCTGCCCCGGGGAAGGAAGGCTTGGGTCACTGAATTGGGTTATCTTTCTGCATTCTGTGGCGAGGCTTCTGGGAAAGCCAGGTGCTTGGTGTAAAAGGAGAACCCTGTGGTCTCTGCCGGGGTCCCTCAGCCCAGTCCACATGGGCCACAGGAGCTGTTTTTGGAGGTGGAGCAGCGCCTCCCCTGAGGCAGTCGATTTCATCTCATCGTGTTGGAGATCTGTGTGCTGCCCACCTCCTCCCTCTGGCTCTTCTCACCAGGAAGACCTAGTACCTGCTTTTCACCTTCAAAGCTCAGTGGCGGTTTGAGGAAGGCTTTAAGTCTGTTTACTCTGCTCATGTTATTGAACTCCTCAGAAGAATCTCCAGTTTCCTTCTATGTTGGAGAAATCACTTACCAAAGTTCAAGCAAACCGTAGCATTTATTCCAGCTTCAGAAATGAAGACAAAGGCAATTCTGGTGTCAGTTCAGAATGGATAACTCCTAATGTGAATTTTGTGTTTTCTCTGGTCTAACCCTCTCTCACAACTTAACTCGGATCAGATTAGGCATACACTTCACACTCAGAACTCTGCTGACCTAGATCTCTCATGGATAAGCTTTTCAAGATAAGCACACAGATTGTTGTTGGGGGCATACAGATCTCCAAACAACAAAACCAGCTTGTAATAAGGAGACTTTCTTAAAAAATAAAAGGCAAAGGCTTTGGAGAATAAAGACCCAGGCAGAGCCTCTGTTCTTACATTCCCGAACCTTCAGCCCCCACTGGAGCTGCCATAAACAGACTAGAGCTACACTCACCTGCCAGTTGGTGGCCATATCCAGAGGTGTGGTTCCAGGCACAACCCCTTCATCATCTCCATCCCTTTCCCACGAGTCATCTAGGTCATAGAGAGGCTCAAAGTTCTCCAGCAGGGGATCTGCTCCTGCAAAGTCAAGTTACACAGCATTAGGTGACCCTGCACCTCTTTAATTTCCAACTGCCTGCAGGGGTCAGATTATATACATATATAAAACATTACTTATTGATATATATATAAAAGCCTAAGCGACCGTTATGGCGGAACGACCAGAATGACCAGTTGCTATGATGCACACTGAAAACCAGGGGGCAGATGCTCAACGAAGGAGTTGTCCCCTGGTGGTCAGTGCACTCCCACAGAGGGAGTGCCGCTCAGCCAGAAGTCGGGCTCATGGCTGGTGAGCGCAACTGCTAGGCGTCGGGAGCCTCTCCAGACACTGCGGCAGCACTACCATGCAGTGGCAGCATGTGCAGTGGGCCAGGATGAGCATGAGTGGCACGGCACCCAGCCCCGATTCGGGCTCCTGCCTGGCTGTCTGCTGCTTGGCACACTGCTACATCCCTTGGGGGATGTCCGACTGCCGGCTTAGGCCCAATCCCGGTGCCGTTCTCTGTAGAAGGCAGTCAGTCTGAACAACTCAGTGTCTCAGGGAAGTGCAGGGAACTCAGGGTGAGCCTGCCTCCACACTTGACTCACCCACTCAATAGTGTTCGCAGGACAGACTGTGATGGCCCAGCCGGTGCATGTGCAGCAACCGCTGAAGCTCAAACAGCAGCCTGTGCAGCAGCAGAAGACCATCCAGCCACAAGCTGGCAGTTGGACATCCCCTGAGGGGTCCTGGACTACGAGAGGGCGCAGGCCGGGCTGAGGGGACCGCGCCCCCCCCCTCCCCCCGCCATGCACGAATTTCATTCACTGGGCCTCTAGTAAACATATAAACATTTCTACTGAAATATCCAGAGACCATCTCTTAAATTCTAATTTATTTTGATTGTAAAGGTATCTGATGATACCCTATACATCCATGGACACTTTCAAAACAAAAGACTTGGAATACTCTGACTCTCACACTGAACTCCATAGAATGATGCATCTTTAATTTGGGGACCAACAATGGCAGTTTACAGGTGCTGGGGTGCACCCTCAGGATGAGGGTCCCAAGGTTCACGTTTATGTGCGTGTCTCAACTTCCTCTCCTAGTTGCTCAAAATAACAAAGACGCTTGCTGTCTAGTGACAACATGTTCAGTTTTATTCTTGGGTACAGCATGCCTGGGCCCTGATCACTGAACAAAAACACCAAAAAACACCTCTGCTAGGATGGATAGTGATTGAAGAATTTAGGGTTGATCTTAGAAAATCTAGTCTGTTTCTTAGCCCACAGCAAGAAACACTAAGAGTAACTCAAAGATTAGAGCTCAAGTTATTTCTCAAAGGCTTAGCAACTCTTTTAATGAGAGTTTAGCTTAATGTCTAAGGATAGCAGCAAGCACACCCTTATGGGAAGAGGAACTTGTTTTTATCTTGCTGGGATAACATCTGACTTGTGCTAACTGTAGTAATAGGGAGTGCTAGATCCAGAGACATAGAAGCATGGAACAGACTGTTGAACCTCAGAGGGAAGGCGGGGGTGGGTGGGGGTGTGGGAAGTGATTAACCAAAGAACTGTATGCACATATGCATCACCCATGCATAACCCATGGACACAGACAATAATGTGGTCAAGGCCTGGGGGGTGGGGAGGAGCAGGTGAGGGCCAGAATGGGTCTATGGGGAAAAAGGGGACATCTGTAATACTTTCAATAAAGATTAAAAAAATAATAGGGAGTGTCTCATGGGAGTCAAAGGAGAATCTTTTTCTTTTTTTAAAAATATATTTTATTGATTCTTTTACAGAGAGGAAGGGAGAGGGATAGAGAGTTAGAAACATCGATGAGAGAGAAACACTGATCAGCTGCCTCCTGCACATCTCCTACTGGGGATGTGCCCGCAACCAAGGTACATGCCCTTGACCGGAATCGAACCTGGGACCTTTCAGTCCACAGGCCGACGCTCTATCCACTGAGCCAAACTGGTTAGGGCCAAAGGAGAATCTTGATGCTATTTCTTATTTCATTATCCCAGTCCTAGCCTGATTTATGAGGCAGTGTCATCTGACAATGGAAACAATGGAGAAATTCAGATGAACAATTACAGGACCAAAGACCAGAAGAGCTGAGTTATGTTGGTTCCTTAAGTGACCTGCTTCATGACTTTGAGCCCAAGACTAAGTTTTCCTTTTTTAAAAATAATTCTTCATTGTTGAAAGTATTACATATGCCCCCCTTTTCCCTCTAAACCCCCC